TAATCTTTTCTTTTTCAGACATTTATTAACAAAGTAAAACTCGATTAGTTAACATTTTGAGACTTCACAAATTCAGAAAAAATTACAGACTAATTTTTCGTATGGCCTACTGATTATCATGAAAAAAAAATATTAATAAACATTGCGACACTTAACAAATTTAGAATAATTATTCAAGGAAACCAAACTTTACTTAGTTTAAAAAGTTTATTAATAATTTATATTTCCAACATAATTTATCATTAAAACTGGAAAACTAAATTCTAACCTAATTTCTTAAAATAAATGATGATTTCCAAAAAAAAAAATATATAAATCGACTTTTCGAACTAAATCCGGCGTTTTAGAAATAATTTACAAAAAGAGCAACAGCCGTAATAGGAAAGACTCTTTCCGTGGGAACTTGTGATGCCACCATAGAGACATCACTAAATAGTTATTGATGCCATTCTTGTAAAAGGAAACTTTTTTTCTTAATTCTCGTTAGGTCGCGGTTGAGGGATTTTTACTCCATTCAAATAATTAGTCCAACGTAGAAATCTTCCAAAATCAAAGAAACCGCGCGAGTGTTTTTTCGATGCTTCCTAAATGGGTATCGGTACTTTTTTTAAGGAAATCTTATATATAAAAAGTTTTCCGGCTAGCAGAAAATTTTAATATTTCGACAAATTGAGGCGGTTTGACAGACTCGAGGATTTTACTTCGGATAAAATATGCGAAATGCACTGGTAAATATACATTTATGTTCTTAATATTTCAACTAAATATTGTAACCTCTTTAGAGTAATAATTAACAATATTTTTTATCATAAATGAAACTAAATTATTCAAAAATAAAAACATATTTTAACTATATATCGGTAAATATTTTAATACGGCTGAAATGCATAAATTTATATTAGATTTTACTTTCACTTAAGGTTTTTTTAAGGATTATGATTTTAACGTTTTTTTATAATATACGAAACTAAATTATTCAAAAATATAAACATATTTTAACTGCATATCGGTAACTATTTCAATACGGCTGAAATGCATAAATTTGTACAAGATTTATATTATAATTTGAGATTTTTTTAAGGATAAAGAATTTAATATTTTTTGTCATATACGGAACTATATTACGGCATTAAATTCAAAAATATTTTAACTACACATCGGTAACTATATCAATACGTCTGAAATGCATAAATTTATACAAGATTTATGTTTTCATTAAATGTTTTTCTATCATATACGAAACTAAATTATTCAAAAATATTAACTTATTTTAACTACTTATCGACAACTATTTTAATACGGCTGAAATTTATACAAGATATATACTATAATTTGAGAATTTCTTAAGGATAAAGAATTGAATGTTTTTTTATCATATACGGAACTATATTACGACATTAAATTAAAAAATATTAACATATTTTAATTACATATTGGTAACTATATCAATACGTCTGAAATGCATAAATTTATAGAAGACTTGTAGTTTCATTTGAGTATTTTTTTTATTCTTTTAAGGATAAGGATTTAAATATCTTTTTATCATATACGAAGCTAAACTATACAAAATATTAAAATATTTAACTACGAAATTTATATTTTTACTTGAGATTTTCTTGAAGAGTAGTGATTCTTATGTCTTATTTTACATTTAATTTTTGTAATGAAAGAAATTTTTTTACAAACTTTTAAAATTTTAAACACATAGCAAAAACTTTAATTAATATTATTGAATTATTCATTTAAAGTTAATTTGTTGTATTTTATGAATTGTGTAACTTAATTTTTACTTTAAGGTTTTAGTTCTTTTACATATTGTATCTGTTGAAAATTGAATTAATTACAATAATAATTAGAGACACTTATAAAAGTATTGCTCTTATTTTCTTCTCGAAAGTTGTTTTGCCATAGAATAAAATAAAATAAAGAAGCATTAAAATAACTATAAATATTTTAAAAATTCGTTAGAAATTGAATTACTACCTGAATAAAAAATAAAATATACTAATGTTTTGCTATTATTTATTAAATACGTTAAAAATACTTTTGAGAATGTACGTTTTATGAACTAAAGGATTAAAAATATTATTTGTGTTTGGAGTAGTATGGCCACTTCTGACTCTTAATCTGCCATTAAACTCTATGTTTATTCTGATGTTTAAAACCGCACATTGAATATCATGAATGATGTATTAACCATTTAATTATTTAATTTAACCTAATGTTGTTATAATAAATACTTTAATTGTAGTTTGATATCTTGTATATATTTTGAAAATAAATAGGTTTGTAACTTTAGTATTTGTGTGCATGACGAAAACTTTTCAGTATTTTCAATTATAATCTTCTTTAGTGTAATCTTGTGATGGCGGACTCTTTTAATCCGAAATATATTTGTGTATATAAAACAAATCCTTTTTTTTTCAGTTTTTTATTAGTTAATTTCTTACATGTTAAATGAATGAATTAGAAAAAAAATTTAATTTTAAAAAAATCATAAAGTTTTATTTATTTTTAAAACTATTTTTTTTTTAAAGAAAAAGAGTTAGAATTGCTAAGAGGACGGTTGAACATCAAAACTTTCCAAGTATTATTATTTTAAAAATATTGAAGTATAAAGATATTGAACTCATCTAAATGTGAAAGATACAAAATTTTGCATTATGCGTGTGTAAATGAAATATACTTGTGCAAAGATTAATGATGTTTTTTCAAAATGTTTATTTTAATCGAATAAAAGTGAGTTTTTAACAGTAAATCGTCTGTAACTTGTTATTAAGTTTTCTGAAATTATCCATTGAATAAGTCATTTAAACAAATGCATTAGTATTATTGTTGTTTTTTTCACAAACATTGGTATTTAACCAATCAGTATACAATTTTAACCTTTTCCTTCTCGCTCCTGCCAAAATTACGGGAAGAAGCTTCACTCTCTATTTCTCGTGCCCGTGATATTTCCGGGCTAGTGTGTTCAAGAGTAACGCACCTAAAAGATTAGGGCAATCTATTTCTTACGTCCATAATCATGTTCATTTCTCAATCTATACAACAAATGACGGAGCCAAACTATTTGTCATGTGTTCAGAGAAAGTTTATTTTAAACTAGATGTCAGCCCTCATCAAACATGTAAGCTAAAATGAGTATATATATATATATATATATAGACATAATATTCAGGTACATTTCGCAGTGTTTCAGCAATATTTAGAATTGTTTCCTAGAAGCGTTTTTCAATATTTCGGTAACCTCCGCGGTGCTAGACTACCAACAGTATCAACTGTCTTCTATCAAAAGCTATCTAAGGATAAAATCAAGTTAACATAAGTATCTTACACACTAGTGAATTGGAATTTATAAGTCGTAGTGGTAGCTACGCTACACTCTGAAACTGAATAGGCGTCAATGCGATTCAATTTCCTACTTCTTGAAATAAAAGAAAGGTTTTAAGAAGGATACTTGGAAGGATGCATGGAATGGAAACATGATATTAAATAAAGTTCTCTGATATTTACTAGATTAACTGGTTATTATATAAAAATCATGAAACTTATCACATTTGTCTCAACATATCTGTTTCAAATTTCGTTTATCTACCCAATTCTTTCATCGTGTGGAATTTTTGGGAAACAACGTGTATTTACATAATGAAACTTATAGACGAAAAGTCAAAATAAATTTTCCACTTTCCGAATTTTCTTCTCGATATTGCATTTCTGTGTCGGTTTATGAAAACAACGTGTTTCAACCATATGAAGTTAACAATAGCTCTTTATATCAAGATTTTATTTAGATTTAGTAAACTTGATCAGTATCGGTAGGCGGCTTGGTATCAAGGAGGAAAAAGCTATAGCTTACGAAATATCTTAAATGTAATACTGGTAAAAATAATCGAGGTCCCACGATGATGAGTTCTATTTAACTTAATATCCAATCGTATAAATAGTTATAATATGCAATCAGTTGTTAAACAGTGCAGAAAAAGGAGACTAAAAAATGGAATGTAGACGTAATATAGGTATTAATAATACAGTAAAGTGCCGATTATACGAACCCTTATTATTCGAACGTCCAATTATCCGAACTATGTCCTAATTCGTTTTTTTTTTCCTTTTAAGTTAAGAATACTTTTTAACTTATCGACAATATAAAAAAAAGAGCATCTTCTTTGAAACAAAGGTCTTTTCTGGATTTCTTTTGCAATGGGATGAAAAGAAAAAGTCAGTAATTGACAAAAAATATTTATAAAAAGCTGAAATATGAAAAAATAAATACGAAATGAGAAAAAAGTTTTTAAAAAAATTTAATAAATAAAAAATATTTAAAAATTGAAAAAAAATTTTTTTAAACACTCCAGTATTTTAGATAGTAGTGCCAGTTTTAACCCCCCGTCCCGCAGTGGATCGTTAAGACACGGCTCCCAGCAGGTCACCGAAGTCAAGCATCACTGGCTACGGTCAGTGTGCGGGTGGGTGACCACTTGGATCAGTCTGCGTAGGAACCGAGGGTGTGCGGTATGGGTCCTTGTTGAACTGTTCTACCGTAAAGTGCTCGACTTCGCGTGCAGGTCGTCGGGCTATCGAAGCGGGGTGCCATCCCTTCTGCAGAGGATCAAAATTATAATGGCATATCTTCGGATCATCCTCAGGGGTGTCTCCCAGACCATCGCCAATAGCCCACCGTGCAACTCTAGTGCGACGTAAATTAACTATAACTAGCTAACTAGCTTTAACCCTTTTAAAAGTGTGAATAGATGTTAGTGAATAAATAACAATCGTTTAAACAAGATTTTAAACAAATTTCCAATTATCCGAACGAAGATCGGTCCCGAGCAGTTCGAATAATCGGCCCTCTACTGTATTTCCGCAAGTAAATCGCTTAGAAACTAATAGTATATAACTAAAGTTGACATTTACTAATAAAAATACCGTATTATTCTATATATATTTATATTTGTTTTTCCTTTCAGAATTACGAGAGCCTAATTTTTCTTGTGGTTTTTATGATTAAATTTCATCATGCCACCAACGTAGATGAATTACCTAGTCAAATACCTAAGCCAAATCCACACCAACATGATACATCTGCTGTTACAACAGACCAAAGGAGACCAAATTGGGTGCTTCGAACTCCGAACTCTACCGATTTGAATTCCCACAATTCCTCTCAATCTTCGTCCATTACGTCTAATTCAAGCATCTCTTCTCCTCGATATCCAGAAACAAGTGACTTCCATGGTTTAAAGAAGGAACATGATTATGATGATACTATACCAAATTATACACAAAATCAACTTATAAGTGCCAAATTAGGAAACAGCAATGCGAAATCTAAATTAATATCTAATAGAAACGATTTCTTTAGGAAATTGATGCAAATAAGTTTAGCTGGCCAGAATGTTACCTCCAAACATCCTAATTCTTCTAATCAATTCGGAAGCAACTTTTCCTCTGATAATGGAGACAGCAATACAGGTGTGTTTTCAAACTCTGCAGACTTGTATTCCGAGTCTCCGCTGGAATTTCGCAAAAACGGACCATTTCATGAACGCACTTCTAATAGATCAGCAAACAATTTGAGGTCCGAAGATCCCAATTTTCCAAACAAATTGGATCTTAAACATTCTCAGAGTATACAAAAACCAGTTCGATTGTATCCCATTAAATATTACTCAGATTTAAAGAACAATTCTAGAAGTAGTTCTGAAGGGTACAAACCTCTTAAAAGTGGTAGATTGCAGTCTGTCACCACATCACAGCAAGAATCAAAATCAAATTTTCTACCACAAGTTGAACAACGATCATATTCTTCTCATAATACAGTATATGACGACGAAGATGAGGAAAGTAGTCAAAACTCGCACGAACCTAATAAAGCAGTAAAAATAGTGCCTTTTTCCAGTGTGTTTTTCACTAAGGGTGCTGATTTAGGAAGAAATCGCTTTTATCAAATTGCTCATGTAAATAAAACAAAATCTTCAAAAGCGTTAATAAAATTCGCTCCACCAAAATCTAATTATAAGAATGTTTTTAAAAATTTTGAAAGTAGTCATAAATTGAACAAGCCACCATCAAAAATACCTTCTAAAAAGCCAACTTTATCTAGTTCAAATGTAGATCAGAACCACCAACATAACTACAACGATAACTATGATAGACCAGAATCAAACAGTTATAAGCCTTCTTCATTTAATTCCCATTCCAAGGAAGACGAACGCGATAAGAAAAATTATAAATATGGTTTTGGAAATTCTGAAACTCATACTCCAAATTCCCAATATTCAGGGGAAGTCAATTCCAACTCAGCTCCGTATGAATCTGATTCCTATTATCATGCACCTTCTCCAAACAGTTCCCATTCACACCCTAATAGTGTACCAGAGGGTTCCTATTCTCCAACCTACTCTTCAAATTCTGCAGAAGACCTTCATGATGAAAGAGGTAGAGACATACCATCTAGCCAATATAATTTAGAACATCAGAAGTATCCTTCATCACCTCCTCTTTCTTCTAATCAAGATCCCCCTTACAATTATGAACAATCGCCAGCTGCTTCTTTTTCTCAGGAAGTTGATTATAATCGAAATAATGATGCAAGCAATTCCGAAAAAGATATCCCGAAAACTTACAACCCTCCTTCTTACCAATCTCATCCACTAAACCAAAAGCCAGCAATGCGCAATCCGCAATTATCAAAACACTCTGCACCTTATTTTGGAAACGCAAAATATCAAGAAAATAGTTATGCAAACCCATCAAGTCAATTTGAATCAAATCCTCCAAATTTATCACCAGCGAGACCTCACCGACATTACCAAAAATCATCATTTTCTTCCCCTCTAAAGGAAACTAGTAATTGGAAAAACAAACATTTTAATTCTGAATCATACCATCAAGAGGCAGGGCCTGAATTACATCCTAATTTACAACAAAACGGGGCACCCCCTTATAAAACTGTTTCTGGACCCGTTACTGCAAATGAAAAGCCACTACCGTTTTCTGAAAAAGACAATGTATATAAGGGAAAACCCCAATTTAATTCTGAACCGAATCATTATGCACCAGGTCCTCACATAAATCCTTATAATCGACCTACTTCTCATAAAACGTTATCTGGTCCAGTTATCACAAATGCAAAAGAACAAAATTATAATGTAATAAATTCTAATGAACATAGACCCGTTACTTACACTCATCCTTCATCATTTTCGCCAAACTCTGAAACACCATCATCATTTCATTATCCACATTCATCTGGAGCGTCGTATTCTAAAGAAAGTAATTATCAAAACTCCCAAGACAGCCAAGGTCAGTATAAACAAGAACTGCCACCAAAGCATGATTATTCACAATCTCATTTTCCAACTCAAAAGCCTTTAATAAGAAATCTACCACCTTCGTCAGTTTCATCCTATTCCAGAGAAATCGATTATCGTCAGAAAAACCACGCTAGTACTGATCGATATCAATCAAACCGTCCTTCCACACAATTTCATACATCGCCTCAAAGAAAACCACCTACACATGACTATTCACAACCACATTTTCCAGTCCAAAGACCTTTAGCAAACAATCCATCTCTTTCGCCTGCCCCACCGTTCTCCGGAGAAACCGATTATCGTGAGAAAAACCACGACAGTACTGATCGATATAAACCAAGCCATCCATCCACACAATTTCATACATCGCCTCAAGGAAAACCACCTAAACATGGCTATTCACAACCGCATTTTCCAGCCCAAAGACCTTTAGTAAGCAATCCATCTCTTTCGCCTGCCCCACCGTTCTCCGGAGAAACCGATTATCGGCAGAAAAACAGGGAAAATACTAATCAGTATCAGTCAAGCTATCCTTCTTCTCAATCGCAAACATCACATCAAAGTCCTCGGCCCTATAAATTACCTAGATTGCCTGGTACTCCTTTCTCTGGAGAAAGTGAATATCCACGAGACGCTCCTGCAAGTTTAGAAGAGCCAGGTCTGCGCCATTATTTACCACATTCTTATTCAGCACAACACTCACAATCATCACACAATGCACCTCCTTCTTCTGCCTCTTCCCATTCTGAAGAATATACCCATTCTGGTTCTAATCAGTACCAGCCAAATCATCTTAAGTCAAATAGTGAACCATCTTTTGCACCATTTCCTAATAACCCAGAAAATAATTATTATCAGCCTAATGAAACCCCTTCTCATCAATCCCATAATAATCATGCGAAACCTCTCTCTTCTTCTAACAATGTTCCACATCTGGAGGTTTCCAGCTATAATCATAAGAACAATGCTGTTGCTTCAGTCCGACCTCAGTTGGGAACAAAGAACCATGCTCCCTTACAATTTCAAAACTCGCCCTCTTATGCAAAATCACCTTCACCAGCTACTCCTTATACTGATACAGCCCCCCATCAGAAAAGAGGCCATTCCGAATTTTTTAATCAGTATGAATCCAATCATCGTAATCATCCACATTCTAACTCTCAACCACAAATTGAAGCTGAATATAAAAGTACCGCGTATGGCAATCCTTCCGTAAATGCTAAAAATCCACCTACACGATCCTCGCACCCACGAAGTCGGAATTTAGACAATTATCAAGCGCATGTAGCTAATTACAATCAGCCATCAGCACCAAAATCGCATACTTTACCTTACTACAATCACAACGAAAATATAACTCCATGCAGTTCCGAATACCAAGCCAGCATATCTGCTGAATGCGAAGAAACTTCGAAACAGCAAGATGTATATAACGTGGGGAATTCTGGATACAAAAAAGAATCTGGCGTCCAAAAATATCCAGATGTCTCTCCCATTAATTCACCAAAATACAGTTATAACATTAAAGACAATGCTAATACAGACGTACAACAAAGAACAGTGAAATCAAGCTTTTTGGGAAACAATAATAGTCGAGGTAAGGATCAAAATTATAATGCAAATACGGAGTCGACATACGGTGGAAATTCAGACCCTGAATGTGATGAAAAAGATGTAAGTTCATCTTGCTCCTTCGAACAAGATGAAGTTCAACAACCACGTAACTCTGTTAAATCAATTTCTGTCCCTCATGGTCATTCGACAAATTTCGAATACAATAGTCACCGAAGACAAGAGACTTCTAAGTTAAGCGTCATGAGCAGTCCAGTGGCAAATCAGCCTGGATCAGTTAACACGGATAATCACCACACTATGAATAACATTAATAACAATATCCCTTTCTTTAGTGGCGAAAAAGAAAAATTTCAGAAAAATTCCTCCCCAACGAGTGATTTTTCTCGTAATACGCAACCCATAGAACAATATAATGAAGAGAAACCGAAACATACCGGTTACACTCATCTCCCAAGATTTAGTACTGAAACTTTGATAGAAGAATCTTTTTCGGAGACAAAAACTATTCCAATCTCAAAGAAAGCAATGCCTGAGGTAGTTTCTTCGAAAACCCACGAAGACAACATTACAAAAGATTCGGACCTCCATAAACAAGATTTAGAAACTTCAGGGAGAAGTCAAAATGACAAATTTGAAAAATCGAACAAAGAGAAGAGTAAAAATTTTGATGGTTCTAAACGCTCACATAATCCCAGCCATTTTAAAAAACGCAGTGTTCCTGATAAAATTCAAACAGCATACTCAACCATACGAAATTCCAAATCCAATGCTCGACAAGATTCTGATGAAAGTGATAGCCTCACAAGTAAAGAAAGCGATGCTGTTTTTAAGGACATGCCAGATGTGGACATGAATGAAAGTGAAGAATCGTTTGGTCAAGAAGATCATGATGGATTTTTGGACATGGGTGCCTATACTGATAAAAATGGATCATTCGGATGGTATGCTGATTTTCCAGTTGGAAAAAGTCACGATAAACTGACATGGTCATTTTCTTGAAGAAAATGTACACGTATCTCACATTTGTACATACATCATTGTTAAAAATATTATTAAAACAAATAATTTAATTTGTGTTATGTTTTCAATTTTAAACATTTCGAACTATCAAAATAATGAGTTGCAATTTAAACACAGAATCTGATTTTTTATTTATATATTTCATTCAGCATTTCGTTTTTGGCATTTCAGTAAAATCAAATACAATAGCAGTGATACAGGTTTTGAATTTGTAAATAGATTTCAGATTTCATCCGCAATACAACAATTGAATCAAGAGTTTATTTTAACATTAAATTATTTATTAAATTGTGAAATTAAGCATCTCAATTAACAATTTAAGTAAACAATGCGCAAAAACAATTATTTGGATTTCAGTTTCACTGCTAATATAGTTTTTATGTGAAGTTTTGAAAGATTAAGAAAAAAAAAGCTTTTTTTTCAAACAAACAAAAAATGCAATGTGTCGAATTGGAAAGATTTTTTCAAAACCCTCCTTTCAATAGCTCAGAGATAAATCGTGAAATAAAAAGAGTTCGTCAGTAGGCTTGAAGAATAATGTGAACATTTGGAATGAAGATTGGAATGATAGGGAATATTCAATATTAAACACTATTTTTTTAAACCGTCTAGTACAGCGAGAATACGAAATGATAAAATAAACGAATAATATATTTAATTTTTGGCAGTCTAATTATTATAATTATTAGGAACTTGGCTTTTTCCAAAATAAATTTCAAAATTTAGAATGAATATTGGTATGATCAAGGGGGAAATATTCAAAACTCAGAATTTTGAGCTCGACTGATTACACAGTTATGATCATTCAATTATGTTTCTACAAATCTTGGCTCCATTCAATTGCTCCTGTTAGATCTAAAAATTCACATACATCACTATTTTTTTTAAATGTGATAAGTGTAAAGCAGCGGTGCGCAAACTTTTTTCGACTGCGACCCCTTTTGTGGAGAGAAAATTTTTGGCGACCCCTAGAGATAAATGTTCACAAATACGACGTATATTTCGCGCATTTCTTTCGTTTCATCGAGAAAAAACATCGTCATATTTAACTGATATTAATTTTATTTATAATTTTAAGAAAATACTTTTTGTATAGCATAGAAATCAGTAAATTGCCCTTTAATGAGATGTATGTGGCTGCAAGTTTCTAATTATCTCATTGATGTTTGGATGTATGTTGCTAATTGCAATTCGCATATCATCTTCAGGGTTTAAACACGAGCGGTATTTAGTTTTTATTGAAACTAGTTTGCTAAATCCAGTTTCACATAAATACGTTGATGCAAATTGTATTAACATTCTGATGACATTCTTGCATAAAACGGGATATTGTTTTTCCACGGATAGCCAAAATTTTTGGCAAGGCTGAGTCTTCTGTAGTCTCGTCCAGTTGTAAAGCAAATAGAAATGAATTTTGTATGCGTTTTATGACTTCTGACTCGATATTTCGTGACATTTTGGAAATCCAATTGCAATTAAACAGTGAGTGACGGCGCTTCACTCTTTATATGTATACTGTATGGTATGCAGCATGCAGGGATAATGCATTTCATAAAAATTTGGCGACCCCCACAGGGGTCGCGACCCCTAGTTTGCGCACCACTGGTGTAAAGTATTTATCAAAAATACATATATATATACATATCTACTTCTTTTGATTTTATAACTGCAAAAAAATTGTAAAAACATTTTTCTCAAAGGCAATAATGAATACAGCTAACTACAAAGTTACGTGGCACGCAACATTAAAATAATCATGTTATTATCAAAATAGCTTTTTTTAAATTTTTTTTTACAATCTACAATGTATGAATTGTATGTAATTCAGGGAAGTTTTAAAGACTTATAATATCAAATAAAATATTCAGTGTTAATAGTTAACAAACGTAATAAAATACTTAATAATGAAACAATAAAATAACATACAAACAATGGTTTCAAATTTATTAAAATGCGTACTTGTGCCCTTAATCATCTTCTGTCTCAGTCAATACATGGCCACTGTCCGCATTTGCCCTTGTGTCATGTAAGCACTGTATTTTGAAACAATATAAATTATGATATACAAATCATACAATATAAATTGTACAATAATTAAAAATTTGGTATTGCTTCGCTTATTTACATATCATTATTAATAACATTTGAAGGGGTCATTTGTCGGACACTTTAAAGATTTTTTTTAAACCCCTTCCCCTCTTTGAAACCAAAAGGTTTCAAAGAGAAATTTGATTGTATATAAGTTATAACAGAAAAATAATTTTAAGAAAATTATTACGTTTCAATTGTGTTTTGATAAACAATTGAATATAAATAAAATTAATATGTAAAAAAAATATGTAAAGTCTACTATGAAAACAGAAATACTATGAAATCTGAATTTTATACTCTTTACCAAATATAGATTTACAAGTGAAAAATTAATGAGAACTTACATAGTGAAATGGGAAAATTTCAAACTTTACAAGACTACAATAATTTGCAGATTTAATGCACAAGAATAAATATGGCGAAATAATTTTTTTTGAATCGTTGAATGCCAACATTTTATTTTATAAATGTCATATAAGCAAAAAAAAAAAATAAATAAATAAAGTAATAAAGGGTATTAAATAAGTTTTTATGACAAATAATTTGGAAGAATCGAAATTAAACAAATGTATAAATTTGGGTTGGAAATGACCCGTCTCATATAATTTCTGATGGATTTTGCCTTTAGCCTCAGGTTAAATATGGCTGTGTCTTATTTTATTTTATTTTATGGGGAAATGTTTATGATGGAAGATCATGGAGCATACATATTTTACATTACAGTTGTGAAGAATTGATAGTCCACTAATGCATCAAAATAATTACCTTATTTTAGTAACAATGGCCATTATGCAATTAAACAAAGTAGAATCAGTTGTCTTTGTTAGAGATTAAGAGATGTATCTTCGAAAATGATGAAATATTTTTCTAGTAAATTTCGATAACGGTCGGATAGCGGGCGAAACCGAGCATGGATCAAGATCCTTAGTTGGCGATTTATAGAAAAATAAAATCGTCAAAAACAAAGCCAACCCCGTGTAATTAATATTAAATTTGAAATAATTTGGCTTTACATTTTTGTAGTAAAGGAAATAAAGAATAAAGAGTTAAAAATAGATTCTGATGTTCGATTTAGTCGCGACAGTGAATTAATGAGTTATACACTTGTATTGAATTAAAAACTAAGCAGTTACATTGATTGTTTAGTATACATATTATTTATAAAATGTAATAAAAATTAAATAGTCTATTGAAAAATTGAATTAAATTAGATTAAGATTGATTAAAAAAATTAAATTTATGAAATTAAAGAAATTATAAAAGCTAAGAAATCTGTAATTAAACTTGAAATTGTATGATATTCTCTCTTCGAAAAACTCTTCGATATTTTTTAGAACAAGTCAGTAAAATGTTGAATGTTCTCAATTTCATTTTCTGTTCTTTGTTGTTCGTCTAGATGGCAGCACACGGAATTTAAATGAAATTTAAAATAACAAATTCAAGACGACCATAACTCCGTTTTTAACAGATAAATTTGCTGATCCAAAAATTTAAAATGCGTCAATTTGTAATAAACGAGCTATTTTTAACTAATTTTTTTATTAGTTCAAATTTATGTATCTTTCTTACTTTCAATGGCACAAGGATACACGATTCGAAGGGACTACGGAGAAGGATTTAAGAGCTGCCGTCATTAAATAATTGTTTTTAAATGTCGGCAGTTATTTTCATTAAAAAAATTTATTGTTATGATCATATTTATTTTATTCCCTAAGGAAAGGTTTCATAAGTATAAGATTTTCAGTTTTTGGTAGATTTCTATTATTTTATTTAAAAAAAAAAATTGCTGTCTGAATTCATTTTAATGAATAAAGTACTTCCCGCTACATTAAATAGAAAAGAATATACGTATATCGTAAAAAGTGAGAAATTTGACCAAGGCCCCGCAATTTCAGATTTCTCCATTCAGTGATAATATCCACGGAAATTATAAATTGAATACCAAAAATTTAGTTTTATATGATGTATTTTATTATTGAAAATCAAAAGCAGTATTTTATGTCATTTTCTTCAACGAGCTAGAGAAAATTTTATACAGGGCTTTGGAAAATGGTGGAATTTTTTAATTTTAGTGGTTACTCTTAAGAAGAAAGCTGTTCATTTTAATGAAGTCATAAATGAAGAGTACATAGAACCGAAGAGGTTTAAACTAACCAACTCAGTTTTAGATTATTATGTTATGCGAACTTTCTAAGAGTAAAATGATATAAGACGAAAAATTGCAGCTCAGTGGTTTTAAATATAAAATTCAAACCATATAACTAATTATTAGTTGCAAATTTTTAAACTTGTGGGCAAGGAAGGAATATAACTCAACTTTATTGATTTTATTCTTTAAATTTTATTTTATTTGTTAACAATATTATGGAAAAAACAAATTTTTGGATTTAATCTGAAAATTTGAAATAGAAGTATCGAACATAATTGCACAGCTTTTGATCTGTCCCGCTCTACCTACTTTATGGTGTAAAACCGTAGCGTAAATATAATTTCGACTAAAATATTCTTAGGATTCATCAAATCAAAACTAGATGGCAGCACTGCGATCAAAAGCAATAAATCATAATAGCTATACCGAAATTAGAAAGTATTTTATTTTGTATTTGTATTTTGTATTAGTATTTTGAATTGAACTTGATAATTTTACTATTGAAAATAAGTTCCATAACAATACATAAAATTTTTTACGGTAATTATAAAAAAATTTATATTAAAAAATTTTTGAATTAGTAGAAATGAAAATGACAATAAATTAAAATACGTAAATTCTAGCCCACGAATATACACTTAAACTCTTCGTGTAAATGTTATTTAAAAGTTGTTGAAAGTGTGTATTTCTTGTTTTTTATATCAATGTAATATTTATGTCTAGTTTTTTTTCTTTCCAG